AAAGACCAAGACAATCCAACCAACTTATCCAATAAGTGGTATGTTACTCAATAAGTTTACATATAATCAGATGTAGATGACACTACTATTGACAAATTATAATGAGATAGCCATTAAAATAAAAATATACAATTGAAATTACTAGTACAGTGTGTAAAATAGAACTGAAATATATAAATACAGGCAATCTATATTTTTCGCATAATACGTTAATAAACAAATGCACAAAGCCAAAAATATAAAGTTGGGTGATGGTGTAAAAAATATTGTAGCAACAGAGACCTATGCCATCATGTCCTTAGATACAAAGCCTTGCTATCGGAAATATTAATAAGGAAAACCATCCCAACCTGAACTTATTGATTTCAAAGATACTTTGGTATTTTTTAGTACAAAAAAAAAAATTAAAGATACGTAATTTTTTGCGTATATGCTGACATGTACTTTTAAGGGGTTGAAACCACCCCTGAAGTTAAGCTTTAAAAATTTTTTAATTTTGTAATCCTTAAATTTTATTTCACATCTCTTATTTTATCAGGCCAAAGGTAGACAATTATTTATTAATATAGCCTCAAATACAAATCAAAATTTTCGACAACATAGAAATTCTGAGGTATTAAAAAACTAGATACATAGATTTCAGGAGTGGAAGTACGTAAGAACAGACCAAAATATAATTGTGGAGTAAAAAATACTTTATTTTATACCTAACCACTCAAAACCAGAGATTCAGGACGAAATTAAATATTAAACCTGTGTCAATGATTGAAGTATAGAAATAAAAGAAACTTGAGCAAAGATTTACAGGTAAGGATATAGAAAATCAAAGGTATAGATAGTTAAGTGCTGACTAATGCCAAACTTTGTTCAATAAACTCTTGAGACATAAAAAATAAGAAGGAAAATTTTTTTAAAATAATTCAAAGTATAAAGAATAGAGACCCAAATATGTAAAGAAAATGTATTAGAATAAGACTTATTTTTGCATACAATTGATGTTATATTAAAGAGCAGATAGTTTTTATGTCTCTGAGATGATAATATATCTTAATTTTTTCTCACATTCCCACTTTTTCCACAGATTGTTGACTTTGCATATTTTTTAAATATTTCTTATAATCATTTAGTTACGCTTGCACTTGAGTGCTTGCTCCTTAAAACTTTAGTTTTTCGTTCCCAATTAATTATGCAGTCTTATTTTTCAAGGTTTTAACATTTTAAATCTTTGTCTTAGTATGAGTATATTTATTCCTTTATCTTCAATACTTTTATCACCGCGCACTTTGATTTCGATTTTTTTGTTTCTGAGATAAATTCGGTGTCTCCATTGTTGTTTTCATTTTTTATCTTTATACCATCATCATATACATTTAATGATTCTGTTTGGTGTTTGTTTCCATACCTATGCTTTCTTGCAACAGTTAAAATTTGTATCTCTGTTTACGCTTTTTCATTCGAAAATTATTATTCTTTTGTCACCTCATCTGTCTCTGTATGCAAGTCTTCTTCGAATCGCAAGGTTTAACGATTCTATACAGATTTATTTTCTTTCCCTTGCCTTTCTTTTTCTATCTTACGTTAATATAAACAAATGAATAATAATAATATTATACAGACGATAAGGATACTATACATCCATTCCTAGGTCACCGGACAAGTGTCATGTACCTACGACATTGGGAGATTTGGCCCACTTGAATATATTACTATTTGTTAAACAAAAATATATTTTCATTGAATTAAAAAACTTTTTATTCGTTAAACCAAAGTTTGGGAAATAATGAAGAAACGTATCGGGAGGAAGGGCAGTGCGTAGTGGTAAAGAGCTAGCAATCGAACGAAAATAAATAACAACGTAACACAGAATGCCTTTATTACACTTATTCTTCTTGAAGTGAGTTGGAGATGAGCTGATGATCTTTTTGGACCAAAAATGTAAAAACTCTAATTTTGTTGTATACATTGTCGTGGTGTGCAAGTATATTCTGAAAGTACGACGAGGTACATGGAGCGCGTGGTAGTAGAGGGGTATCTGTGAAACAAAAGACGAGTGGCCAATCAAGACAGCTAGACATTTTAACGATCCTCTCCCCCTTCCCTTCTTTTCACGAGCGACGACTCGCTAATGGCACTCTTAATGGGACACTTTTTCGTTCTCGACTGCAGCAGAACGACGATATGATAAGAAGAGTCGGGGACGAGGGGTGGGAAAAAAGAAAACGAAGCTACAGCCGGTCCTGATCTCCCTAATGTACAGAAAAGGCGTGGTATAGGTGCATATAGGTCCCAACGTCTCGAAACTCGCACGGCCGCCGTATTTCACTGCGCGAGTGTGTGTGTGTGTGTGTGTCTCTTTTTCTTTCTCTTCCTCTATAGTCTATCTCCCTACATCTCTGTGCTCGTCTCGTATACGTGACCGTATGCGTGAAAAACCGGCTGGACCGTGATGTGTGCGCTTGCATGTGTGTAATCCCACAAACACAGGTAAAACATACCAGTGGAGCGCAAAAGCGAGGAGAAAAGAAGAAGAACTATATAAGAGGCCTCGGTGAGAGAGAGATAGAGAGAGAGAGAGAGAGACGAGGGGAGGCGCGAGGAAGGAAGAAGGTAATGGCAAGCCGGTCTCTCCTCCCGATCCTCTCTATCTCTCTATAATGTACAGCCTCCGAGTAATAGGTATATACGGCCGTGCAGTGCACCGACCTCGCTCTCTTCCCCGCCTCCGTCTCTCTTTCTTATTCTCTGGTAGTCGGACACATCCAGCCAGAGGACCGGTTCGCTTGCTTCAGCTCTCCTCGACTCGCTCTACATATGCGCTGCACGACGACTTACATGTGTAGCTATATTTACGTAGGTATACCGATCGGACCGCCGATCTCAAGAGCGAGGGAGCCAACGCAAGGGACAACGCTGCTCTCGGCGGCGGTGGTGACTGCTGGTGCTCCCGAAGCGGCTGCTGCTCTGGGCTGCCGTTTCTGGCGCTCCTGCTTCCACTGGCGTTGCCGCTGTTAGGCCCAGGGCCGCGCCGATCGTGCACCTAAGACTCAACGACTATGCATTTGAGGGTACAAATTGAACGGAAAATGTGACTTGTACAGCAATTGTACGGTTAAATCGACCGATAAATTCTGATAAATTTTTATCAGTGTTGAAGTACGTGCTGTGAAGGTATGGGGTGGTGGGTCCGATAAATAATACATCGCCAGTTGAAACGAGCATAACGCAGTCCTAAGAGGGGGCGATTACAGTTTTGCAGGATCGGCAATAGCGCACCCATCAAAGAAGCGGGTATGCCTGTATACGAGACCGCAAATATAACATCGGAATTGCGCTAGTACCATATTACGGGTATATTGCGTGGGCCCCGAAAAACAATGGGAACCATAAAACGGCGGCGCGTAGGCCACAGGGCACCAAGCCAACGACGAGCGCGTATACCTGAGAGCTCCTCGTATACCGATCTCGCGCGCGTGAGAGAGAGACGGAGACTTGTAGTCCTTCCGACTGCGGAGCTGCTGAACCTGCTCTCTCTCTCTCTCTCCTTTCGTACACGTATATATATATATGATAATACTTACTTGCTCGCTTGCCTGCCTGCCGATCCCGTCTACCTGGCGGCGGCCAAGAAGCTCTCTCTCTCTCTCTCTCCCTCCTTCCTCCGAGGGAGTGTAGAGTAGCCGAGGAGAGAAAGAAACGCGCCGCAGCATCCAACGGCAGCAACGCTACCAGCAGCGCCCGCCGAGCATCCGAACGTGTGAGTGCGCCCGCGTGTAAGTGTGTGTTTGTATTTGTTGGAATCTCTGAAAAAAAGATCGCGAGTGCGACGAATGTTTTTTTTTTTGCCATACGCACATACAAGATCCCTCATCGTGTAGATCCTACGGGTTGTTCATTTGATCCGATTTTCGCATAAAATGTGATCGAGAGACTTTTTGTCTTTTCTCTTCTTGGAAAAACACGCTACGAGACAGGGATGTAGCTATTGATGGTTCGGACGATTACGCTTTTCTCATATTGGCCCGAACGAGTAATCGAAAGCCCCCAGGTCTTGGTAGGGTGAGAATGTGGATCACGTCGAATGTTGCGGGTAGTTCCAGATGAAAATCTCAAGTTTGTCACTCGATCACCCCGAAGATCGGTACGATTTTGCTTTCGGTTTTCATTCCCATGCCGATCTCGTGACATTATGCCATAAGGTCATGTGATTGTTATTTCCTCGAAACTTTGTTATCTTTCCAAATCGACAACGATACATGTAGATTTCCGGCAAATCGCAAAAAAAAGGACACTTTACGCAGACTGCGACGTATATATATGGGGAGTACCAGATCCCTCGGCTGGCGCGTATCGCATCCGTGTGTATATATGTATAGGTGCCTACGTGGGTGTGCGTGCGAGCATAACCCGCGCGAGACGTGAGGCTTACCTGACGCCGCCGTTGCAGCAACGTCAGCGACACGCAGTTTCAGTCGCGCTACGCTCGCCGATCCATCGCTCTCGGGAGCCTCACCTGCGCTGGCCATCGGCATTTTTTGGCCCGCGATCGATCTCTTTCATCTCTGTCTTTTTCCTCCCCTGTTCACTCGCAACGACTGATAAAGTCCGGAGTGGTGCATCAAAACCGTGGTTTGGGCAAAAACAACAAACGTACAGCCGAGAATCGGCGGAGGAGGTAACAGGGGGAGAGATGCCCTTGGTTCGGGGCGAAGGAAAATAAAGGTGCGAGGGACGAGTCATTGTGCGACGGAGCGAGTTTGGAGCAGCGGTAGCCAGTAGCAGTAGCAGTGACGGTAGCAGTGAAGCTCTACAGGTGTGCTATACATCGCGATCGCTCTCTCGCACTTGCCAGTCTCTCCCGTGTTGTTGGCTACTGTGCTCGTACAGTGTTGTATTGTACGGGCGCTTAATTGTGCGGATACACGTACAAGTGCGTGCTTTCGTGCGTGTCCCCCGTGTGCATCGCCGTTTTTTATTTTTTTTTTTTTTATTAAAATTTTTGCCTCGAACGCTCCTCCCTCGCTTCCAGGCGAAACGTCCTGCTGTTGCTCTCGTCGCCGACCAGTGCTACTGTGCGCCTCGATACCGCGAGAAATCGCGCTGCGCGAAACCGCGAGCCGAAACTCCGATGTGAGGACGTTCGAGAGTCAAGGAGAACCAAAAAGGAACGAGGAGGAAGTAGTGGAGAGTAACGGCTGGCCGCGGCAGCGGGAGGTGCATGTGCGCGATTTCACCGCGGGCGTAGAGATACGGATCGACTAGGGAAATGGTCGTCGGTCCCGGGATGCTGGGGCACGGCTTCTTCGCGGATCTCGCCTAGGAGGCACCGATCTCACCTTGGCTTTGGAGGAGCTTCCTCAGGTGAGCGAGATCGTGTGGGAGCACACAACGATACTGCGTATACACATGCACACACACGCCTCTCCGAGTGTATTGTACCTACGTGAGTTGTGTATTATGTGCGTGCGGGAGGAGGAGGAGGAGGCTGCATGAGATATTTCCGATTCCAATATGGCCGCCCGCGGGACCAGCCATGACACGACGGGGTCCGCGGAAGCCATGTTGGCAGGTGTGCGCTCTTGTCGGGGACGAGATAACGAGAGCCAGAGCACGTATGCGTGTGCTCGACGTCTCTGGTGATACGCTTGCGTGCGCGAGATACGTGGGGTTTTTTTTTCGTGTCTTGCGATTCGGAGTGTGGTCTTACCGATCGGGCCGATCTGGTGGTGCCTTTTAACTCGGCTCTGTCCGATCTTCGGGGTGTAGCTGTCGATCGATCGAGTTTGCCGATTTTTCGAACTAGTGCGCGTTGGGGAGTAACTTGACTTACCGATTTTTTGGGAGGAAAGTTGAATGAGCATACCGATTTTTCGGTGTCAACATTGAGGGGGTTCCGCACCAAACTTCTTAGTCCACGCGTTTTCTTTTCCGTGGGTCAACAGACCGGATCGTGGACCCCACGTCTTTTGTTTTTTTTTTTTTTTTTTTATACATCGCCGACAAAAGTCATGCCTGCATATCATACATTTTCGAGACGGTGAAAGTGCAGAGCACGCATATCATTAATACGTGAGTGCGTAGCCAACCGATCGGCTTGATGAGTTTTCGGCTTTTATGGATTGGCTGCTGAGTTTCATGGGCGCGTTTCGAGCGGTTCGGTCGTCGAGGTAGTGTTCGTAGGCTTGAAATCGGTTTGGGTGGATTCGAGTTTTCGGTTCCTTTGTTTTCAAACCGTGGATTGATGTAGACCACTCACCGAGGATAAAATGAAAAGTCCGACTATGCGGCTTGTCTGTTGGCAAACTTCTTGGTACTGCGTTCAAACATACCGATTTCTCTCTTTTTTTTCTTACCGATCTTTTATACCGATCTGTGAGTTTTTCAGTTTTTCACGTTATTTCAAATGATATAAAATTATCACCAGTTTCCATCAAATGACAACTTTGTCCTATTTGAATTAAATGGACATGAGAACTATGGAGGTTTCATGGAAAGGTGTCAATAAGACTTGAAAATATAGCTTTTTCACGTACAAATGGTACATTACGTCACTAGGGCACAAAGTACAAACATAAGCGCCCGTAGGACGCGCTTGTTGTAGGTCGGTGCCCGAGTTGCGTATAATGTTTTTCGTATCAAGGGTGCAAAGTGCAATTTTACGCCCGTGGGCACACTTTGCACCCAGTAAATCACTTTGAGACCGTAGGGCGCAAAAAACTTTTCTGCCCGTGGGCTCAAAGTGATTACAAGGGCGCAAAATGGCAGTTGCACAATGTTGCAAATTTTTTTACTTACAATATCATACAAAATGTTTGTACACATACATTTCGATAAAGTCAAAATCTATCTCGCAAAAAACTTTGTACTTCAATGTTAAATTTTGTGCAATACTAGTTTTCGCACACAATTTAATAAACTAAAAAAGTAAAAACATTCGAAATTACTAAACATTTTTCACATAGTTTGAGAAATTTAACGCACCGCTTTTGAACAAAATTTGTTAAGAAAAAAAAATTAACTGATCTGCTTATGCTCAGAACACTTTTTCCCCAATAAACAATACAAACATGAATGCGTCGCAAAGTCAATACAGTACCAATAACCGCTCGTTGTCCATTCCACAGCAGACCCGACAACAGCATGCCGACTGATCTAGTAGTGACGTCGGCCTCGGCCCACACCGAGGAGAGCTCGCGGCTGTCAACGTCACGCTCAGCATCGAGCAGCCGAGAACCCGACGGCCGTTCCAGCTCTTCGTCGCGCAGCAGCTACGAGGGCTCGAGCTCGACCTCCCTCGGCAGCTATCACCACCCACACCACAGCCTCGTCACGGGTCTCGGACACCCCCATCACCACCACCACCATCACCACCACCACCGCGAGTCCTCGGCCTTCGTCCCGGTGGTGCCCTCGCGACTCCATCTGGCGGCCTACCCGGGCGACATCCACGCCCACCTCTCGGGACCGGGAGCCCCGGCCCCTCCGGCTGTGCCGCCAAGCTCGTCCACGGCCGCGGGCTCGAGCTCGGGCTCGTCCGGCCAAGAGCCACGGGAGGGTCCCAGCAGCGAGGGGGCCTCGGCCGTGCGCAAGGCTTCCTCGTCCAGCTACGAGATCATGGCCATGATGGCGGACAAGCGGAAGGAGCTGGCGGCAAGGGCGCTGCTGTTGCCACCGCCACCCGCGCTGTTGGAACCGCCCCCCGGCTACCCGGTCTTCCCGGGCCCGTACCCGGGCAGCTCGGCCCTGTATCCGCCGGGTGGGCCGCTGGGCCACCAGCACCTGGACCGGAGGTTGCTCAGAGCGCCGGGACGCGCCTCTCGGCCCAAGAAGCAGTTTATCTGCAAGTTTTGCAACCGGCAGTTCACCAAGAGCTACAACCTGCTCATCCACGAGAGGACCCACACGGACGAGCGGCCCTACTCGTGCGACATTTGCGGCAAGGCCTTCCGCCGGCAAGACCATCTGAGGGACCATCGGTACAGTGTCTTCTTTCACATTACTCTACTTCGTGCTTTTTTTTTTTTTTTATTTCTACATTGGATGGTTCGGTTTACGTATGCTTGACTTTTTGCGCGGGCAAACTCCGTTTTCACGCCCTCCAGGTCGTTAACTGTGAAGCGTAGGTTCACGCAGGGAGATTCCATTGGAACTATGTGTATAACCTTGGGCGTGAAATGGGATGTTGTTCACGTAAAAATTTCAAAAAAAAATGGCTAAAGAATATCTTGAAGCCTATTGTCCCTACCGAGGGCTTTGTTCTGAAAACAAAAAACAAAAAAATACTTGTTAAATTCACAATCAGCAAATAATTGGTAAGACTTATGGCATCCGTGATTAACGCACCCCGTCCTATCCACAGGTACATCCACAGCAAAGAGAAGCCGTTCAAGTGCGGTGAGTGCGGCAAGGGCTTCTGTCAGAGCCGGACCCTGGCCGTCCACAAGATCCTCCACATGGAGGAGTCGCCGCACAAGTGTCCCGTGTGCGCCCGCAGCTTCAACCAGCGCAGCAACCTCAAGACCCACCTACTCACCCACACCGACCACAAGCCGTACGAGTGCAACTCCTGCGGCAAGGTCTTCCGGCGCAACTGTGACCTGCGCCGGCACGCCCTGACCCACGCCGTGGGCGACGTGCCACCCGAGGCCCTCGAAGAAGCACTCCGTGACGACGACAGCCCCGAGGAGGACAGCTCCGAGCCCTTACCCCCGACCACGACCTCCACCCCAAGCACCTCCTCTGCCCCCTCGTCCAGCTCGGCTCCACCCCCGGCCCACCCGTCCTCCTCGACGCCCACCACCGCCCCCTCGGTTGGAAAACCCCCTGGCCCCGGTTCCACCTCCAGCAGTGGCTACCCGACCAGACCGCACCTGCAGATCCGGCGTGATCTCCTACAGGCGAAGCCAAGCACAATAACGAGCAGCGGCAACCTCGCCTCGGCCAATCCACCCGGGGCTCTCCCACCTCCACCACCGTTGATCCTCACGTCCTACAACCGCCGGAGGATCGGCTCGCCGGGGCCCTCCCGGGTCCTGCTCGAGCTCCAGGAGCGCGAGCGGCTCAGGGAACGGGAGCGCGAGCGCCTCGAGGAGGAGAAGAGGAGGAGGGACGAGGAGAGCCAGGAGGGTGGGGACAAGGACAAACGGGCGAGGGCACCGACGCCACAGCCGGCGCCCAGACCCGCCCCGGCCAGGCAAGGCTTCACCATAGCTGACATCATGCGCCGGTAGGCCGTGTCACTGTTGCACGGGTAGCTTTTTCACGTTCCGTGATCCGGCTCTCTGATGGGTTTCCCTTCGTTTTGCTGGGGGGGAATGGGGATTTCCTCTACTATTGTGTCCTGCGTTACGTGTGAACCCGCGTGCAATGGATATTACGTTTGTACATTGTGCTCGAGAGAGCGATTTATTATTAATTTTCATCTAAATGATTTTATCGATATTCCCGGTTGCACTTAGTCACGAGTTGTGGATGCTCGCCTTCAGTGCCAAGGATGGTGACAACGTGTTGCCAACACTTTGTGCGGCAAAGTCTCCGAGTAGACTGAATTCGAGCTTGTAAGCGAAAACTAAACATTTTCGAATAGGCATTCGGACGCATCGAACCATCACAATGCAATGTTCGGTGGTTTTACTACTTCTTCAAGTAATGGACACGAGGCTCTTTTGTGAAAAATATTAAATTCAGAGGTCTTTGGTTAACAACTCAATGAAAACTACATCATTAGCTTTCCGAGTGCGATTTGTTACGAGTGACTAATTTCCGATAGGTCGACATTTCGAAAAGTAATATTCATACACGTTTTGACCTATCGCAAATTAGTCATTGATGACGAATCGAACTTGGAAAAAATTACTTTATTCATATCAATTTGTGTTATATTCACAATTTGTACTTTTCAGTAAAATAGACACTCGCACCGAATTATCGAGTTGTGAGAGACTCACCGTTACACCGTGATTGTCCGATGCGTCCTCGTGTGCAGCTTAGCGGGGCATCAATGTTTGAAGTACAGCCCCATCGTCCGGTGCAATCGTGTTATTTCAAGTGATATCGCGAACGAAATTACACGAGTGAGAGACAATGAGCTTTGTAAAGGGCAGGTGTTACTCTACGATGATGGCGACTCATCACGCATGAGGGCGAACTATCAGCTGTAGACATAGGGATGTTTACATGTAGTTATCCTGAAACGCTCCCTTGTCGACCTCAGTGCGTTAACTAATAAGGTATATTTTCTAAGCGAACAAGCGTACATTGGTATTGAAGAGACTTGTCATTCGCGACGGAGTGAAACGTAGCTCGTACTTTGTTAACTAGTACGGTGTAGCTGTGCGCATCTTAATCGTCCGAGGCCATGCCATGTTCCTTCAGATTTTGGAGATTTTATTTAGTTTTTATTTTGATGAGTCATCGGGAAACACACTGTTCTCAACCCAAATACGCTCAAGCTCGCGCTAGCGGGCTCGTAATCTTTCGGTCACGACAGTCAAAGCTTTATTATGTTTTAGTTTGGGGGAAGAAGTATCAAAATCCACATTTGTTTTTTAAGAACCCACGTATAAGCCACATGAACTGCAAGCGATACTACGATCATGGGACGATAAAAAACTAATCTTGCACAGAACAAAAGAAACCACAAGTCGTATTGGTCACATGTAAATTTCACTTTATTTTCCAACCAACACGTATCATATACAGGTGCGGGTGGCTTTCCTGAATCTGTGAACCATTAGGTTTTCTTCTCACTCTATTTTCCATAAAATGGTGCGTGTATTGAACCAACTTGGATCTAATAGATTTAAACTCTTACAGGGAAAAAGGTATATAGAGTGACCCAGTGGGTAACAGGTTCATATACGCTCAGGCCCCAGCCCCCCCCCCTCCCGAAAAAAGATCTAAATTACGGTTTCATTACGAGACGCGGCCTAAGAGCCTTTTAAGTCTCACTCCATCCCTGAACCCGTTTTGTGTACATTCACGAGTATTCGAGAAAAAAAATCAAGCAGAGCCCCCGAACGAACGTAAAATCTACATCAAAGTTACAAAGCGCGACCAGTACATGGTCCTTAGAGAGCCCGCCCAGGTGTGGGAATGGGTCGGGAAAAAACGCGTTTTCGCGCCCTGAGCACACACGAGGAGCCAAACAAAGGGGGGCACGCGCGAAAACAGAGGCTACTCGGAGGAAAACGTCAAAATTTTCTCGGCAAACACGCGTAGACCCTTGGTATATCGTGTTATTCCGGAGCAATCTTCCATGTTTTTCTTTTTCGTCGGCATTGGGTTCTGGAGCAAAGGGAAGGGCAAACACGCGCTCAAGGACTAGACATCGAAGCACTGGTTTGCATAGGACAACGCGAGGCGAGCTCTCTCTCTCTCTCTCTGTTTGTCGACGTCTTTAGTGCAGGTGCTTTTTGTGTTGGTATACATGCACGCGCGTGTGGTATAGGACGAAGGGGGCCGTCTAAAGGTGGACGCGTTTGGTCGTATTGTGTATATATAGGGAGTCCCTGAGAATAGTTGTTTTTGGTAACCAAGGGCTGGATCTCGGTTCTCTGATGTAGTCTTGGTCACGTTTTTTCTCTGTAAGTCAACAAAACTGCTTTTAAAATTTTTTTTTTTTCTTTACTCGAGAATTAAACAATCGTTTGTTATAAAATTACATCTGAGGTATAATAATAATATTAATAGTAACTAATATCAACTAATTGCTTTTGATTTCCTGTAATACTTTAACTCATTTGTTCCAGATGTAGTTAACTACATGATTATTTTCACCAACAATGTCATGGACGCTATGTGCAACCCAATCCACGAGGTTTTGCTCGTGGAAACGTCATTTAAACGCATGACTATGGTAAACTGTTAATCCAGTTCTTGCACAATTTGGTTTTTGTAGTTAACGAAAAAATTTCAAACCTACAAATCTCTATGGATATCGCGTGACTTTGTTTTCTCGCGTTTTATTATTTTGAAGCTGTTACACATAGATAAAGATTAAAGCACAAGATAGAGTAGAGAATTGAACAAAGTAACTTTTAGCTTGATTCCAAATGTATTATACGTGGCTTATTGGAGAAGAAAACCGGGTATTGCCGGTCATTCATTGTACAAGCGCGAGAAGAACAGGGGAGAGAGCTGATGTTGCTACCGTAGTAGCGTCACTGAGAGCCACCACATGATGCGTAAAATAGTTTTTTGGTGGCTCGGAGCAGGTGCAATGAGTAGTCCCTCCGAAACACCCTGCCTTCAACGCTTATTGTGTTACGCGTACCTGCTCTCCGCTCGGTAGCCCGGCACCCACTATTTCTCTCATCTTCCCCAGCTTCCTCTGCTGTCCCTTATTTTAATGTGACCTTTCTTTTGTTTATTTTTTTTTTTTTTTTGTTTTTCTTATTTCTTACTTTATACCCACCAAAAAATCACCTTTTTTGTTCCCAAAAACGATGGCCATTAGAAGACGATCCTTTGTGCCTCTCGCAACTCGCGCATAATCGGTAGTGAAGGGAAACTCGCCGATTGGCCAAGGTTACCGCCTTTCGGATACAACTGAGATCAGTCACTCCCGAAACTTGGTCATTTTTTATTTTATTCCTACTACGTTTCTCCTTGTACTCTGTTCTCATGGGGGTATACTTTTTTTCCTTCATCCGAGTAGAACGCTCTAGTTCTGGGGCTGTGCTTATGCCTCGTGCATCCGAGGGTCGGGTGATACAGGTGCCCGATGACGATTCAAAAATTGTGAAAGAGAGAATAAGCCTTTTGTTCGAGGGACGAATAAGAGAAATTTATATTACTGTATAGATGCGTCATTTCTCGGGAAAGGGAGTGTGAGTTTGGCTTCGCAGTCTAAAGGCGTGTCATTCGTAGAATCCACGCGATTGTGTTGTAAATTAATGCATTGTGATATGTACCACTATTTTGCCTTTGAGATAGAAAAAAAATTCAGGTCTTCCATGGTGATAATGATGCTGATCATTGTCAAGTTTTTAAATTTATGTGTCGAAGATGCGGATGTGTTAAATAGAGAGTTTTAAACGTTGTTTCAATGACTGTAAAGTAAAAATTACGTAATAAAAGTGCGAAATATCGATTATAAGTATTAAGTTTGTATGTTTTATACTGTAAGGCGTATTTTATTAGTTAGGTTGAGCAATAAAGTGAGGTACAAAAAAGAGAATCTATTGGCGAGCGAGACACAACTGTGTGATAAGCGTGTAAGAAAGTAACACTTGGTAATTGTACTTATTTTAGAGTGACGAAAAAATTGTATCATTTTTTGTGACTTGACAAGTATTGTGTACTATACGACGATTTATACATTTGATGTAAAAATTCATTGATAGTGTTTAAGAAATTTGTGCCCGAGAAAAGTCCAGTATGAGTGAAAAAATTATTTTTATGTCAATAACTTTAATCGTTAGCTCTAAGACTGCGCATTTAAGCTAGAATTTGACTACATGTAATTTTAGATTTTTAAAGATGATGTCAATGTAAGAAAACTTGTAAATTATAAAGAAATATTCACAAGAAATAAAACATCTTACATTAAAAACTCTGTGCTCATCATTGAAAACGTACATCGGACCACACAAAAATCAAGTAAAGATAACAATTGACCAGAAGCATATGTATTGTATAATTATGATAGAGCCAAGTACACTAAAATTGATTAGTCCATAATTTCCTGATCCTTAACTGCAAACAATTACGCACATCGTGGGGTACATCATCATCCCATAACGGCAAAATTCGGTAACGAAAAATCTAACATAGGACACTTAAACATAACAAGGACTGGAGCACAGTCGATAACAAGGACTTCAAGAGTAAATCTTAGAAATATAAAATTAATTCACTTAATAAAAATTCATTTCATGACTCCGAAACCTACAACTACGAATTACATAATTAAAAAACCATACAGTCAGAGAATATAGAATAAAGATCTATTCTAAATTTTTTTATATAGCTCCAAAATCCCATAATAGTTCCAGTGCTAGAGCTCCTCCCGTCGGTGAAATAAAATAACCTTACCAAAACTATGTAATATATTATGTAGTTTTTGTCGCTAAATACAAAAAATGTTGTTCAGCCATTTCGAAAAGTGGTACAACTTATTTAAAAATTGAATGTTTAAACATATCGAGAAAAATTATAAAATTCAATCTTGAAAATGTTTATTTGTAAAATATGGCTCAAAATTAGAAAAAGAGCCCATGTAATGCGTTATGTGAAAAAAATCAGCCAATTAAAAGTCATTTAATTTACGTATGTTGTGTCATTAATAAGTTTTTTAATAATATTTATAAATCCATTAAGATGGAAAATTTTTTCTGAGCCCCCAACGATAACATCAAATCATAACAAGATACAATTACAACTATTATCATAATATTATACGACTATTAACGAATTATATTTTTCTTCTTTTGTATTAGTGCCTATTAGGGTACTTTATCAGTTGATTTAATTTGTTTCTAATTGACTGCTAATAAGAATTTTTATTATAAATATTTCNAATGAAGTGTCTTATCCAAATTATCATTTAAAAAATTTATGAAAAAAAACCTAAGAAATGAATAGATTTCCATCTTCAATTTCATTGATATTCTAAAATGTAAACTAAAACTGCATTGTAACTTTTCCACTACGAAAAAATTCGCTAGGCTTAAGTTAAAAACACATATGTGCATATATTCATTTACACACAAACATGCGTACACGTGCACATACACATGCACGCGCACGTATACATATATACACACTCAGACATAAATATCAAGAGTGGATTCGCTTAACTTGATTCAAAAACATGACAAGCACGTATTTATTTTAATCTTGAATGAGCTGTCCAAAACTAGTACGTTCAGTTAGTTTTTTAGCACTCAGATTATTATTTATTTTAAATGATTTATATGGTGATGCTTTTTATAATATAACGTGGATTAGAATATATTTTAGCTATTAACAAGATGCGCAAACGAAAAAATTAAAAAATTTTCATGAACAAATAGACAATTAAGTATTGTAATTAATTTTAGCATTTCAAAAGTAGATAAAAATTTTATTAAATCATACAAATATATGGTGCTAAATAAATATGAAAATTCCTATTTAGGATATATGTAACTATACCCCTTAGTTTTAGAATAAAACGATGCTGGATTACGAAAAAATAATATTTATTAAAAATTTTGAACTACGTATTATTTAGGGTAACTGCACCATTTTCAACTCACTTGGGCTCAAATTTTATCTTAAGATGTGGACTTTCAGATAAAAGAAGATTTATAATAATCTGCAGCTTGGTAACCGCGGTATTGTTGATTAACGCAGGGTCGTTGTTAGACTCTCGTGTACCGTAGATCATCAGCCCAAGAAAATCAAGTCAAATTAGTGCAATGTAATAATTTTCACTTTATAAACGGAAAAACATTATTGTTATCATGATTGCGTTATTTTAAACAGAAAATTTCTCTTGATGGCTTTTTCGATTAGATTCATATTCAAAGCTCTACCAAAGAGATGTAATATAGATAATTTGCATTAACTAGAAGACGCCCTCGGCCCTAAATTGAAATTGATGCATATGCTTGGTTAAAAAAAAATTTTTTTTTCAATATAGTATAGACAATACAAACCAGCAAGGTCGAGTTGTATAAAAGTTAAAGAAGTGTACCTTACTTATGTATATGATTGTTCAAACGAAATGCTTTGTATTTTTGCCATAAAAGAAACCAAAAAGGTTTCCTTTAACTAAAAAAGTTAAAGGGGAAAAAAAAATTTTCAAATGACGATCATAAGGGTAGTTTGAATAGTATACCTATTGTCTGTACGTTAGTACGAAAACGTGTAGCTTGACTGTACCCTTTGATTTCACTAAACATATTTTGCTAAAAGTAAGTGAAAGAAAGTGATAAATATTGATTTACTTTCACAATGTAGCGATTTTCAAGCCATCGATTTATCTACTTAATGGCTGGGACGGAATTCGGCTAAAAGATAAAATTAAAGGAGACACAACTCGACCATAAGATAAAAATTACCGAGGACTTAACGCAACCATAGAAGTCATTAATATTCTATTAACGTATGCTTGTCTTAATGACTATACTACGGTGTTATCACCGGTTATCACTGAACATCGCCATGATGGAAAATGGCCACGTTAGATAATTAAATTACAATTACGGAGTAATTAACAATACGATGACGTTGAAAATTTCACTTTTGGTACGATTTGCTTACAGTATGTGGGTACAAGTCATATTATTTCATTAGCTATTGAAATTGTGAAAGGTTAACACCAGAAAGAGTTTTGTGCCATCCATTCTATTTCATCGCTACGATTATCATCACAGTGACCAGTTCTTACCTGAAAAAATCTAGTGCCATGGAAAACAGCAGAAGAGAAGTCATTAACAACAACAATAAGAAGAATAATTGTAACGGAGCTGGCTCAAATCGTCCGAAGAACGGAGTTTATCAGCTGGTCCAGCACGAGGTGCTCCACTCGTTGACCACCGAATACGAGGTCCTCGAGTTTCTTGGACAGGGCACTTTTGGACAGGTAAGTGCTGTAGTATTTTGATAAATATGTATGGGTCGTTCGGAAACCGTCTATTTTGTGTACAACGTCGCGTCAAAAGATATCGATCTGAAAATGTTTCAATAATCAAGAAATGCTTTTTGCTGGCGAGACAACAAAATTCAGTGTATGAAATAATAATACCTTAGGTTAAGACATAACAAAGGGGCTTAATTAGCGTTACGAGCTCGTGTCTTACTCAAAAATGTATTGTTTTAACGACACCTAGAAGAAATATACGGATTTTTCAATTTTTTTACGGCATGTTATCTTAAAGTTGTTAATATAAACAAAAAAAATTGTATTAAAAAATTGGAAAGTGTTTAAGGAGGTTCAGAAAAAAAATGCAAGATGTTAGTTAACGCTGAAAAAAATTCCGACTTTTTTAAGAACATTATCTTTGCGTATGAATTTTTTAAAAGTTTTTTCTAAACGTATTTTCAAGAAAAAAAATCATTTAATTCCAAAACTTAACGTAGACTCTCTTACGTATTAAATAACCGTTTAAATAAATCAATACTTTTTTAAAAAAATTTCTTTTAGTTAAAAATAAGCTGTCTTTTAAAAAAGAATAAACGAATCAAAATCATACGGAAAATCTTCAAAAAAATTACGTTTAATAAAACTCAATTAGTGACCCCCATAAAATATCTCAAGAGTACTCATAATACTGTCTTGTCTTGGCTTCTATTTCATAAGACAATAGTCGAGTCTAGACATGATTTAAACAGTCAAGAAAACACCAAGATGAATTTCTTAAGAGTATTGGTCTTGACAATATTTTTTTTTTTTTTTTTAAGCAATTTTAATCTCTAATCTAGATTATTTTGTTTCTTGACAGTATTTTTGTACATTTATAAAATGGTGCGTGTATTGAACCAACTTGGATCTAATAGATTTAAACTCTTACAGGGAAAAAGGTATATAGAGTGACCCAGTGGGTAACAGGTTCGTGAAAACGGACCTTTTAACACCGTAACTTAAATTCATTATTATTACAAACATTAAATTATAAATTTCTAAAAATTAATTAAATGTTGGTCATAAAGGAATAAATTCTTAAGCTTTCGGATAAGATTTCTAAAATATGCTTGAAGTTAAAAAACATTTTTATTGTAAAGCAAAATTTTAGTAAGTATTGGTTTCTTACATACTTAACGTCTATGAAATATGATTTCAGAATTCCTTCTTAAACATGTATATTAAAATTTAATAGTATGTGCTATGAGCTTCAAAATAGTACTAATGAAGTGTCTTATCCAAATTATCATTTAAAAAATTTATGAAAAAAAACCTAAGAAATGAATAGATTTCCATCTTCAATTTCATTGATATTCTAAAATGTAAACTAAAACTGCATTGTAACTTTTCCACTACGAAAAAATTCGCTAGGCTTAAGTTAAAAACACATATGTGCATATATTCATTTACACACAAACATGCGTACACGTGCACATACACATGCACGCGCACGTATACATATATACACACTCAGACATAAATATCAAGAGTGGATTCGCTTAACTTGATTCAAAAACATGACAAGCACGTATTTATTTTAATCTTGAATGAGCTGTCCAAAACTAGTACGTTCAGTTAGTTTTTTAGCACTCAGATTATTATTTATTTTAAATGATTTATATGGTGATGCTTTTTATAATATAACGTGGATTAGAATATATTTTAGCTATTAACAAGATGCGCAAACGAAAAAATTAAAAAATTTTCATGAACAAATAGACAATTAAGTATTGTAATTAATTTTAGCATTTCAAAAGTAGATAAAAATTTTATTAAATCATACAAATATATGGTGCTAAATAAATATGAAAATTCAAGTAATATGCCATAACTTTAGGGTCACTATGATATCACAAAAATTAAACAAACGAAAAAAGAATGATTTTGGTTTATAAAAACTTTTTATGAAAATAGTACATTATGTGACGAGTGCGCGCATCGCGTCTCGCGCACGAGTTACATATACTATTTTTTGAAACAATGTGTGAGAAGATCGACTTAATCTAAACAAAATGTTTTAATCGTGTTTTTGTTTATTTTTTATTGTCATTATAGATGTTTATCGTAACATTACAATTTATAAAGTTCAATTTAATTTTCTTATTTTTGTTTGAGATTTCCATTGTTTCACAGTTTTCCTTTTCATTACTTCTCTTTCTTTTCTTCAATGGCGATCCAAATGTAGCGTTTTGCGTGGTAGTCGGAACATAGTCCACCCTTTGATATTGTGAATAGTCCTTCGACTCGGCTTCGACATTATTTATATCTACAGTTGCGTTATCAAATCTTATAATAGACGTAGAAGGAATCTGATTTTCAACTGCATGGGAATTGGTGAGCGGTGTTGTTAAGTTGATAACATCTGTAATTGTTTTTCATATTTCTTTTTGGTTGAAAAGCGACTTTCCGACGTAGCTTCTAGCTACTGTCGCCGATTTCCAAACTCCGTGCCTCATTAGATCGTTTTCATCACCTCCGCCGTCTGCAAGCATCGTTGCCGAAGTCATTCTCAAACTATGGCCTGTATATAGTTCAGGTTCTGGTAACTTCAACCATGTGGCTACAATTTTCGGAACCTTACCAATTGAATTCACTACTACTGGCTGACGTTAACATTTTTCTTTATCGTAGAATTAAAAAAAACGATCGTGTGACAAATCTTTAGGCCTTAAGATTGTGTACATTTTGCAGATTTTATAATAATCTCCGGCAATAGTGAATGACCGATTAATGTCGTTCTTCGTCTCTTTGATGATTACGATAAAGCTGTCTGAGGTGCCTTTCACATCGTTTAAAGTTAGATTTGGTAGCTCACTTCGTCGACATGCACCACTTATACCAAAAATAAGAATAACCTGAAAATAAAATTATTATGATCGTATCGCTTAAAAAGCGTAATTACAAGTAGTAAAAAAAGCCAAATTCAATAATTTACTTTTTTACATAAATACACTTCATTTGGAGCTTCATTAATAAATTTACGGATTTCATCAGACTCGAAAATCTTGGCTTTTTTTTCTTGTATCTCACGTTTTTGTCTTTATAAAAGCAATCAACGTGTGATAATAGCCCAGATCGATGTGATCAAAATTTTTAACTCACGTTTTAATCATCGAATATTGCATCCATAAAGTTGGTGGAACATATTTTTCAGAGAGCTCTTTAAAATACGCTATAAATAATTCTTCAAGGAACGATGTTGTTTTCTTTTTTGAGCGCCATTTTTTGAACGCATTATAAGCTGCAGTATTCGAAGTGTTAAGCGACTAGTAGCGCCGCCCTGAGGGTTCGATTTGGAACTATATGTCTCCCCAAAGTATGCGTTCAAACCGTCGCGGTAGTACTGATGAGTTTTTATTTTTTTAATCATATTTCAGTGGACTTCAAACACAAACATACTAATTTTACTTCTTTGGACGATTGTGCCTCGATAGCACAGTAAAAAATGTGGTTGGCGTTGGCCACATTTTCACCTTCCACGTATTTGCGTGAACCTTGACCCACAAAATCCATTAAATCGGTTAAGGAAATAAAAAAACTCATTTTCTACGTCGTTGCTACCGCGACGATTTGAACGCATATTTTGGGGAAACATATAGTTCCAAATCGAACCCTCAGGGCAGCGCTACTAGTCGCTTAACACTTCGAATATTGCCGTTTTGATTTTTCAGCCAACGAATTCATAACATTCAATTCAGCTTCCGAAGGGCATATTTAGAGAAATTTTTCATAAATTTTATTGTAGATGCCCATAAAAATTACCGTGCAGAACGGTAAACGTGGGACTAGGTCGCCACTCCGGACTTTTTACCTAACCTTAACAATTTTTATCGTTACGCCCAGTAAAAATCATCGGGCGCCCAACAAAAATTCCCTTCACGACTCACGAGCCTAAGTTCACTGTAGGTAAAACAGAGACCACAGTTAACGTATTATTTTTTTGTCAGTACAAGATGCGACAAAAAAATTTTTATTTTAACTACTTGATTGTAAGTAGAACGCTATCACTGTTGTTATTATTTTTTTTTTTAAATTANATAATCTAGAAACTCATAGACTATTTCACAACCCCCCCCTCTCCCTATAGTTAGAATACTTAGTAAGATTTAGATATCTTTTAATGCAATCATCTATACCGAGTATGTACTCAACAATTTGGACATCACAAATCTCTATGACTTGGGTACATATAATCCACAAAGTATAAAACATTATACCAAACTTTAGTATACTTCGTGTACATCATAAAATTTTTACTTAAACTATTATTTACACTGTTTTTGAACGTAAAAATTTTAACAAACTCACTTATTCTTACGAACCAATTATTTTATAGCTGAAGGAGAAAGAGAGAAAAAGGGAGAGAGCTGTTTATCAGAACGTAAAAATTATATATATGTTATCTTATCTTCCAGCCTCCCTGGGCCCCACAGACGCAACTACAGATACAGCCCTCCATCATTTCGCAGCAGCCGAGGGTGGACTGTCCGATATACATAATATTTTTAAAGAATGTATATACTATAAATGCATAATACTACGCTTTAATAATTTTATTGCTTCAAATACAATGCGATTTGACTACGGTCTCTGTTTTACCTACAGTGAACATTCGCTCGTGAGTCGTGAGGGGAATTTTTGTTGGGCGCCCGATAATTTTTACTGAACGTAACGGTAAAAATTTTTAAGGTTAGGTAAAAAGTCCGGAGTGACGACCTAGTCCCACGTTTACCGTTCTGAACGGTAATTTTTATGGGCATTTACTATAAAATTTATAAAAAATTTCTCTCAATGCACGCTTGTTGTAGATTGGTGTGAGTGACCGAGTCGCGTATATTGTTCTTTACAGAGGGAACAACGTGCAATTTTGCGCCCATGAGCACACTTTGCGCCCAGTAAATCACTTTGGGCCCTAGGTCAGAAAAGTATGTTGGGCCTGGAGGGTGCATAAAACTTTTCTGCCCTTGGGCCCAAAGTGATTCCAAGGGCGCAAAGTGTGACCCGAGGGCGCAAAGCGGCAGTTGCACTTTGGGCCCTTGGTAAGAAAAACATTATACGCGACTCGGACACCAACATACAACAATCGCGTCCTTCGGGTGCTTATGTTTGCACTTTGTGCCCTAGTGACGTAATTTACCATAAAAATTTTACAAATGTACTAAAAATAAAGGCCGAAGCGAAAAAATGGTCACATATTGGATTATCGACTTGGATATTGACTTTAATAAATGTTAATGGCAAGTAGATGATAATAATGTAGGAATAAATTGGAATTCTTATGGAAAGAAATTCGTTACTTTTAATATTACGAAATTATATTTCAGCCCGTAACGCTCCTATTTAAAAAACAATTAATAAAAGAACTTGTCGTAAAAGTTTTTCAAGTACAGATCTCGCAGGTTTTTAAAAAATTTTTAATGTTCATGGTCACGGACGATACAAAAAAAAATTTTTATAATTAAAAACCCGTTTTGAGCGTTTGTATACATTTCGTCCCTTAAAATATGCCAATTCTCGTTGAATGACTCATATACATATATATATATATATATGGTAAGTTGTTCCNTTAACAACGAATCCAGGGACTCAACATTGAATGGTTGAATAATTTATCTACATATATATATATATATATATATATATATATATATATATATCCTATGCGTCATAGAGTTGCTTGTATTGTGTATTCTACACAAGAAAAAACAGCCACAAATCACCTTCACCACCTCCTCCCAAAAAATAAGTAAAAAAATGCAATTACCCCGTTGTCATTATCTACTTCTTCAACTTTTTTTTAAATCCGCAGGTCGTCAAATGCTTAAAAAGAGGCACTAATGAGAAAGTGGCCATAAAAATTCTGAAAAACCATCCGTTGTACATTCAGCAGGGTCAAATCGAGGTGAGTATGCACCATAAACTCTCACATACAAGTATGGTTTGATGTAGACTAGTTGCATTTTTTTTCAATTCCACAGATCTCCAACCTGTTACGTCTCAATGAAGAAAATGCGGATCAGTTTAACATCGTACGTGCCTACGAATTCTTCCAGCACAAATCGCACCCCTGCTTAGTATTTGAGATTCTGGAACAGAGTCTTTATGACTTTATGAAGCAACATCGATTCTCGCCTTTGCCACTCGAGTGCATTAGGCCGATTCTCCAGCAGGTTCTTACGGCATTGCTCAAACTCAAAGTAAGTGAAATTTTATTTTTTCTTTTTTCTTTTTGTTTCGCGAACTATTTCTTCGAATTTTTTTTAAATAAGAAATTTTTTTATTTACGTTCACGTAATAACAGCCAAGTATACCAGTGAGAGCTAGTTGCACGATAGTTTAAAAATAAAATTAAACAAGTAAACACAAATAAACAAAATAACTGCCAATCTTACAGCAACTGGGTTTGATCCACACGGACCTGAAGCCGGACAACATCATGCTGGTTGACCCCATCCGACAGCCCTACCGTATCAAAGTGATCGACTTCGGCTCGGCCTGTCACATATCCAAGGCCGTCTGCAATAGTTACGTCCAAACACGATACTACCGTGCCCCAGAGATTATACTTGGTCTTCCATTTTCCGAGGCTATTGACATGTGGTCGCTCGGCTGCGTCGTCGCTGAGCTATTCATGGGTCAGCCTCTTTACCCCGGTAGTTCAGAGTACGACCAGATTCGCTACATTAGCCAGACTCAAGGCCTGCCAACCGAAGAAATGCTCAACAATGCTAGCAAAACAAGCAAGTTCTTCTGTCGGGATATAGATGGAATGTACTTTTTAAATAAAACTGACACGGCCGATCGTAAGTATTTTTCATTATCCGCAGTTTTATTATTCTGCTCGCTTTAAATGACAGTAGTTCCTAATTTAACCTCGGATTTTCATATTCTGGCATTGTTTTTGTTCTTTTAGGCACGTATTCGTTTTGGCGTCTCAAAACTCCCAATGAATACGAAGCCGAGACTAGCGTTAAACCCAAAGAAAACAGAAAATACATCTTTAATTCTCTCAACGACATTGGTTATGTTACTACGGATCATGAAGGAGGCCAATGTTTTGCCAAAAAGGCCGATCGCCAAGAGTTTATTGATCTACTCAAGAGGATGCTCACGATGGACCAGGTAGTAAAATTTAATTGAACGAATAATTTCTCTTTGCAAGAAAAAAATGCACTTTTGACGTAGCAAAATTGAATTTACAATTGTCATTTCATTTGCCAGGAGTGCCGTACAACACCAGACGAAGCCTTGAACCACGCCTTCGTCACCCTAACCCACCTCGTCAACAACCGTACCAGTGACTTGGCAAACAGTTTGCCGTACTACCAACCCACTCCCGCACCTCAGCCAGCACTGTCGTCCGTCATGGCAAACTTCCACGAGCCAACGTCCAAAAGCACCACTGGTAACAACCAAGTGCAGCGTCTGGTACCCCAATACCGAACCACGCAGCCTGGCTACAATGACCTTTATGAGATGTACAGGTCCAACAATGGTTGCCAAACCAACCAGTATTATAGCTCGTCTATCAGCTCGATCGGAGGCCAAAGTGGGGTCCACGACTTCCCGCAACAACTGGTGCAGGATATTCTATGCCCACAACCTGGCTATCAGATCATGCCCAGCCTTACCAAGCACGTCATCTTGGCCCAGCCTCCCTGGGCCCCACAGACGCAACTACAGATACAGCCCTCCATCATTTCGCAGCAGCCGAGGGTAACTGATCGGCAGGAGCTTTTGGCGGTAAGTACTCCTACTGCTCCTATACTCATTATTCTTGTACATTCGATCGTAACACATAGCTCTGCTTTTGTTTTGGTGTGAAAATCCACAGAACGTGGTGCAAACACCCTATCCCGATGGTAGCAGGCAGATGGCCACAATCGTGCATCCCTGGGAAGAAATACTTAGCCAGCACAATGCTATTCAACAGTTGTGGACTCCGTCGTTGCAGTCAATACTGGCATCACAATCTTTGGCTACCTTGACATCGCACGATGACCATCACTCATTGTCTTTGTCCTCATCTTCGTTGTCATCAAGCGAACACCACGTGCAACAACAAAATGATCATCCAGCCAAGGGGTTTCATGGCAGACAGCAAACAATCACGATTTATGACACGCCCTCACCTGTGGCGTCTGTCATTAATATCAGCAGCGACGACGACGACGAGTTCCAGGAAAAAGGGTTAATATACTTCACAGCTATTTGAACATTTAATCGGTTGGTGTTACAAGGATCTCGCTTATTTCATTCTTTTGTTGTTTTACAGTACTGAATCGACATCAAGGACGATATGCAGAAGTCAGACCAAACATGATCAGTCAACGACCCAACATGCTCAGCCCATGAAGTACATGCCTGAGCCCCAGCACCATATCAAGTAAGCATTATTTTCTGTTTTTTTTTTTTTTTCTTTTAATAATAATGTATTTTGTATGCCTTTTTTTAAATGTAACTTTACAATTTTTGTTTATTTATTATTTTTTTTGTAGGTCTGGCTGCTCTTTTCAATCAAACAAGAAACGTCCTTTGGCGGAGTGCAATGTGATGAATGTGTCAACGAAACGAAAAAAGTTGGCAGTTGCTGCTGTCAGTGAGGTGCAGCACCGATGCCACGAGCATAAAAAGGAACAGCAACAGCGCAACCCCGTGAAGAAGCGCATCAAGGAGAATATTCCACCAAGGAACAGTGGCTGGGGTGAACGGCAATACTCACCCCTGTCGACGATTCAGTCTCCATTGCCATCGTCGTTGTTATGGCAGTCGTCGTTACAGCCGATACAATCCTCGGCATCTTTGACGTCACACCACAACCATCACTCGTTGTCTTCATCTTCATCTTCATTATCCTCGAGTAAACACCACCTACACCAGCAGAACAAGCATCCGGCCGAGGGCTTGTATAGCTGGCAGCAAATGATCACAATTCACGACACTCCTTCACCTGCAGCCTCCGTTATTATTGTCAGCAGCGATGACGACGATGACGACAAGTCCCCAAAAAATGGGGTGGTATCTAAATTTACCAAGTGCATGATATTCGCGGACAACAACAAAGAGATCAGTCCTAAGAACCGTCGGATCCACCACTCACAGAAGGTATTTTGCCCGCAGCCATCAATCCTGCTGACCCAACACCAGCAGCAGCCGCAGACGACCCTGGATATAAAGCAGGTGCCTCGGCCACAATATCATAGCGAGTGAGGATTCTTTTTTTTTTTTTTTTTTTGTAATGATACATTTAGTATGTTTTTTCACGTTGTTTTTTTTATTTTTTTTATAGTTCTAGCTACAATTTACAATCGCAAAGGAAGCGTCCGTTGACAAAAATACAGTCCGAGTGCAATTCGATAAATATCCCGACGAAACGACGAAAGTTGGCAGATGCTGCTGCCAGCGGGGTGCACAGTAACGGGGTACTGTAACAAGCTTGAGTGCCATGGCATGTGTACCTGCCATCGCAAACGCAACAGCTTCAAGCTTGTGCATTTATAAATTTTGTGATTTTTCTGACTAGTCTGAACATGACAACCAAGTTAATTATCATTTCGAGTAACTATAGTCACTTGTGATTTATTTTAGAATATTTGCTACTGTTTGTCTGACGAGTGCCAGTGTGAATCTCTTTTTTATGTTGAGAATGTTTAGAGAATTAAATTTGTATAACTTTTTCATGGCTTTTGTAAATAAATATTGTTATAATTGTATACAGAAAAGCATTTGTTGTATGTTCTCAAAAATCTTAGGATTTTTGGAACAAACCAATCCCATATTTTAATAGAAGGTTAGTTGCAAATTTTAATGTGTCATAGGCTATTAAAATTAGCAATAACTTTAATAAAAGAAGTTTTATGTTAGTTAAATTTTTTAATGTTACTTTACAATGAGTCCGCCGCACCCGCTATCGATTTTATGACTTTATGTTCATAAGTAAACGTTTGTGGTCTGGCAATGCCATCCTTTTGTTTTTTTATTTTGTTTGTCTGTGTCGATTCAATTCTCCTAAATCTAACCTTAAGCTTTCGTGCTTTGCTCCAATTTAAAAAATTTTAAACCTATATTTGGGCCTATATTTTTAACCTATATAATCTAGAAACTCATAGACTATTTCACAACCCCCCCCTCTCCCTATAGTTAGAATACTTAGTAAGATTTAGATATCTTTTAATGCAATCATCTATACCGAGTATGTACTCAACAATTTGGACATCACAAATCTCTATGACTTGGGTACATATAATCCACAAAGTATAAAACATTATACCAAACTTTAGTATACTTCGTGTACATCATAAAATTTTTACTTAAACTATTATTTACACTGTTTTTGAACGTAAAAATTTTAACAAACTCACTTATTCTTACGAACCAATTATTTTATAGCTGAAGGAGAAAGAGAGAAAAAGGGAGAGAGCTGTTTATCAGAACGTAAAAATTATATATATGTTATCTTATCTTCCAGCCTCCCTGGGCCCCACAGACGCAACTACAGATACAGCCCTCCATCATTTCGCAGCAGCCGAGGGTGGACTGT